TGACAGTTAGATTCTTGATTACCAGGTCGGAGGGAGACAGAGAGGATCGGGGTGTTTCCAGGAGCCGGTGTAACAAAGCTGGATGCAGGTAAGTAGACAGAGAACACACGAGGAAACCACAGGAGATCAAGGAGTCGTGATCAAACAGATAAGTAATACCGCATAGGTTTGAGTCCTTTTCCACTTGGAAGACCACACGATGTGGCTGTGTGAACTGTGTGTTCTTATAGTGCTGTGTGGGTGATAAGTGAATGACAGTCAGGTGTGTGTGATTAGTATTCCGGTGATTGTGAGCTCTGATAGGTGAAAGAGCCTGGCGTGTCCGTGACAACCGGTTTCAATGTACATGACGGTATTTTTTTTTTCATGCATGACCGGGTGTTAACCATATTTTCTACTGATTGAGAGAGGAAATACTGCAGTATGATTTTAGAATACCCTATTTTACTGTCATGATGAGTGAATATTGTCAAAAAAATACCACACTAAATGGTGACTAAACACGACCCCTTTTAATGTTAACCAGGAGTCACTCTTATTTTTAATCACTGCACCGTCTGATAAAATCAACATGCATCTACACTAAAGAGCGGCTATGCGGTTGTTTTGGCTATATTACTTTTTTGTCTCATGGAGCGCACTGCCTGCGTCAGAGTAACAAACTAAAAAAACAACAAACAAAAAAGTGCATGTGATATTAACAGACTTCCCCACTGCTGCAGCAGTGCCCGCTCCCGCAGGAGCTTTTCCATATTTCCCCACTGCCGCAGCAGTTCCCGCTCCCGCTGGAGCCATTATCTGTATTTTACACTGCCGCAGCAGCGCCCGCTTCCGCAGAAGCCTCTAGTTCTCTCTCCTAAGCCTCAGCAGTGCCGCTACTTCAAGCGATGTCCAGCACCCACCAATTTTAAAGTTCTGCATATTTGGGGGGCTATCAACGCTCCTCTCTGGCTGCTGTCCCATACTATTTGCATCTTTGGGGGAGCATTCTGGGTCCGGGCTTAATCCCGAGCTCGGACCCCTCTCCCCGGCCAGGGGGAGGACCCCGGGCTCGAGAGTAATTACCGAGCTCGGAGCCCTCTCCCCGGACAGCACGCCAAATACGCATAAACTTTACTCGGTTCATTATAAGTAAGTGTGAACTCGTGAATTGACAGTCGGCGAGCCCGGTCTCATGAAAATGCGTATAAATAGTATGCCAAATAAAAACGAAAACTCTTGGTATTGCTAATCAAAAATGGACTTTGGCGTGCATATGATACGCATGTGTTTGGCATGCATATAATACGAAATTTGTTGGCGTGCATATGATACGCATCTACCCCAAAACCCTAAACCTACCCATCGCGTAGCATATACACGCCAAAGTCCATTTTTGAGAATCAATACCACGAGTTTATGTTTTTATTTGGCGTACTATTTATAAACACTTTCATGAGATCGGGTTGAGTAGGCTGCGGTGCAGCCAACTGAATGCACTGCTTCTCTGCCGCTCACTCCACAGAACAGACGCCGAGAGAGGTGACACTTCTCCGGGAAAGTCAGACCTCACGTTCACGGGACAGCACTGGCGAAATCTTCCAACTGAACCATAGCTAAGGTTTATCCATAAAAGTCGCTAGGTTTGTCAGTATGAATATTCTATGGATAAAAGCCGCAAAAAGGGTCTGAAAGTTGCTAAATCTAGTGCTAAAGTCGCGCTCGTGTGTGTGAGACGCGGGAGCTGATGGCAGGGGGCGGTGGATATTTGTGGCGGTCAATGTGGATATTGTGGATGAGTTCTTCTGTGTCATCACGTTCTATTAGTTCTACAGCTTCAGTTTCGGAACTTTCACGCTTAGTAACACATACAGCTGTTCCCTCAGCACAGTGCAACAGTGAGAAGGGACCCCTTTCAAACAGTGTCGCGTTCAGAACGTTGTAAAAGCGACATACACCGGTTTTGCAGTATTTTAAAAATTCATGTCATAACAAAAATAAACACCGGTATTCGGTATGAACCGGTATACCGCCCAGCACTTATATACAGGTGCATCTCCATAAATTAGAATGTTATGGAAGAATTTGTTTATTTCAGTAATTCATCTCAAATTGTGAAACTTGTGTATTAAATAAATTCAATGCACACAGACTGAAGTAGTTTAAGTCTTTAGTTCTATTAATTGTGATTATTTGTGACATGGTTAATTAATGTTAAAGTGCCCCTATTATGCCATTTTTAAGGTTGCTAATATTGTTTTATGAGTCTCCTAAAACAGGTTTACATGCATGCAAGGTTAACAAACGCGTTAGTTTTCTCAAAAAATAGATTTAATTTTACCTAATTTCTAAATGATTCGTAAACGACTCGTGCAAAGCAGTTCAAAGAATCAGTCTCTCTAAACCCCTCCTTTCCGTGAGCCCTCACTGCTGTGATTGGTCAGATGGCGCAGTTCTTTGTGATTGGTCCAGAGCCGTAGAGAGATTGGCTCTGGATTGGTCTACCAAGTACAGCGCGTGTCGGAAACGAAACGCCCATTGCCATGATGGAATGACAGCCCTGGAGACTTGACAATACATAGAAAAGATGGTATCGATTGTACCTTACCAATTCGAGCTGGAGTCTCGTTTCTCAGTGGTAAGTGTCAAGTGTTGACAAGTTTGTGGTAATTATAAGATGTGATAAAACAAATTTACTCTCACAGCATAGGATACAGCGTCTTCTCGACATGATGTTAACCACACGGAAATTTTACTGTTTGTGGGCGGGCAAGTTGGCGACGTAGAACTTGGGCAGACATTATGCAAATCTGTTACTTCGTGACGTAGAGCCGTAACAGAATAAGATTCGAATCCCTGACGACTCGTTTAGGCTATTGCGAGCCGACTCTTTTTTTTGACAGACAATGGGCCTCATTCATGAAACATTCGTAAATATAGGAGTAAATTCTGAGTAATTTGCATGTAAAACGGACCTTCCCGAAAACTCTCCTCCGAATTCACAAACCCTTCGTACACATCAGATTTGATAGATAACATGTGTATGTTAATGAATTCCAATCATTCGTAAATAGGGTGCTCGTGCACGCTCATTCACAATTAGCATAATACCCGCCTATGAATTACAGCTACGTAAATTGCGTGTCCAGGAACGCAGTGGAATATTCTGGTCTACTTTCTCAGGTTTGACTCCAGTATATTGCATAAATGCAAAAAAACACTAATAGGCTATATGCCTAACAATAAATATTCAATAACATGTGTCCACCAAAGCGTTTTTAGCTAGCTGAAAAACTGTCAGGCGCTCTTCTTAAAACGGCCAGCTGGTGGTGCTGGAGAACGCTTTGGTGGCACAGCGTTTTTCTAGCTGAGAGACGCTTTGGTTGCTATGATGTGGAATATCCACGGCAGTAACGTATTACTAGTATCTCATTTTGAAGAATATTAAAATGCAGTATCCAGCAATATTAACTTCTCTATTGTTGTTCAGTTGTTGTACAAGTAGGATGACTGGTCGGTGTAGTATTTGTCCCGCCCATCCTCCATTGATTGGATGGCTGGGTAAAAAGTGACAGTGACAAGCGCTGCGTTTTACCCAAAGCTAAACAGTTTATCAACTCTCAGCTACAAGAGAAAAAAATAAATAAAAGGGAGCAAACGAACTTGTAAAATATTATAATGGCAGTGCATCAAATTCAGTGTCATCAGTTTGCCAAAATGAACACAGAAGAACGTTTTACGCACCATTTACACGTGGTAGGGAGCAGGTGTAATTTTTTTTCCTACCAGCTAACATTTTGAAAATACGAATATGTTCATGAATTCGAAAGTTTACGTCAGAACGGCTTTACGAACGATTTACACAAAAAATTTGTTCTGCTCGTGTTTCATGAATGAGGTCCATTAACTTTATTTATCATGCACTGTCGGCTTCACAACTTTGCAGATAGTTTATGTTCACATACAGCTACAAGACACACTGCATGAAAGGTAATATTCAAAAAGGCATAATAGGGGCACTTTAACAAATTAAACCTTATTGTAAAGTGTTACCAATTTTTGTACTTTTGATTTTTTTTTTTCACTTTGGTGCTGGTGTTTAATGAGTGGGTGATAGTTTTTATAAAAGCTTACAAAAGCTACATATGTAATAAAATACATATGCTATAAAAAGAGTTCCTCCATCAAAGAAAATTTTCAGTTGATAAAGTATGCAAAATATAATCAAGCTCTATGGCTGTACATTTTACAGACCAGCAAATGGCACTAATGACACAAAGAGTGTTCTTGAGATAAACCACAAATTAGTGGTGTTTTATGTTATGGTATGGTATTGTGTTATGGTAAATTATGGTGCACAATGGGAACTGAGTCATCAAATTAGTTTTCTCCATATTTCATGTTAGGTGCCGTTACCAATGCTTGTCTAGTACAAAATCAAAATATAAAGTTTCTGCTAACTCAATTATTTCAAATAATTGATTACATCAAATTTTCTGCAATAGTTCTGTTAACTTATTAGGGTTTACATTTAAGGTTGGCTTAGTTCACACAAAAATGAAAATTCTGACATTTTGATTACTCACTCTCTAAACCCTTCGAAACACAAGTAAAGATTTTCATGTTTTAATGAAACATGAGTGATTTCTGCTTCTCCTTTTTGAAAGGCTATTCACCCAAAACTGTGATGCTTCAAAAAGTTCATAAAATATAATTGTAAATCACATGAATTGACTGGTTAAATCCAGAGTCTTGAAGAGACACAATCTCTATGAACAGATATGATGTCAATATGATGAACAGATTATATTATATTATATGTATTTATTTTCAGCACATATACATAGAACATATCAAAAGTAATTAAAATCAATTAGTAAATCAATGAGGTTTGTGCTTGTACATCAAGCAAGTTTGGTTGAGCTTACTTACACGTAACTGATGAATTTTCATTTTTGGGTGAACTAACCCTTTAAAGTCTATATTTTGATTATGCAGTGTCAGCACCAATCAAGACCAACCTGACTGTAAATGAAGTAGGTACCCTCAGTCTCCACTGTTACAGTATCAGCTGATACCTGAAGCCCCTCCCCTCTGCTCTGCCCTACGGCCCAAGACAGAACAGTGGTGTCATGATCATCTGAGAAAAACACAGAGTACAAATGAGAGACAAAAAAACATCTGTCTGTCTGTCTATATACAGTTGCAATCAAATTTATTCAAACCCCTTGACTTCCCAGACACTCTGCTGCCATGAACAACATTTTTATGGCAAACTTTAAACCACAGCATCTAGCTATTATAGAAAGTTTATTAATATACATACAGTGGTGTGAAAAGGTTTTTGCCCCCTTCCTGTTTTTTTAATTTTTTGCATATTTGTCACACTTAAAAGATTCAAATCATCAAACAAATTTTAATATTACACAAAGATAATGCAAGTAAATACAAAATGCAGTTTTTAAATGATTTCATTTACTAAGGGAAATAAGCTGTCCAAACCTACGTGGCCCTATGTGAAAAATTAATTGCCCCCTCCTGTTAAATCATGAAAGAACTGCAATTAACCACATTATTTTAGAAAGCTGAGTTAAATTTCACTAGCCACACCCAGGCCTGATTACTGCCAGACCTGTTGAATCAAGAAATCACTTAAATAGAACCTGTCTGACAAAGTAAAGCATGCTTAAAGAGCAACACATTATGCCGCGATCTAAAGAAGTTCAAGAACAGATGAGAATCAAAACAGTTGACATGTATCAGTCTGGAAAGGGTTATAAAGCCATTTCTAAGGCTTTGGGACTCCAGCGAACCATGGTCAGAGCCATTATCCACAACTTGAGAAAACTTGGAACAATGGTGAACCTTCCCAGGAGTTGCCAGTCAACCAAAATTACTCCAAGAGCACAACGACGACTCATCCAAGAGGTCATAAAAGAACCCAGAACAACATCTAAAGAACTGCAGGCCTCACTTGCCTCAATTAAGGTCAGTGTTCATGATTCAACAATAAGAAAGAGACTGGGCAAAAACGGCATCCATGGGAGAGTTCCAAGTCAAAAGCCACTGCTGACCAAAAAGAACACAAAGGCTCGTCTCTCATTTGCCAAAAAATATCTTGATTATTCCCAAGACTTTTAGGCAAACATTCTGTGGACTCATGAGACAAAAGTTGAACTTTTTGGAAGGTGTGTGTCCCGTTACATCTGGCATAAAACCAACACAGCATTTCATAAAAAGAACATCATACCAACAGTCAAACATGGTGGTGGTAGTGTGATGAGCTGGGGCTGCTTTGCAGCTTCAGGAACTGGACATCTTGCCATAATTGACGGAACCATGAATTCTGCACTCAATCAGAAAATCCTGAAGGAGAATGTCCAGCCATCAGTTTGTGACCTCAAGCTCAAGCACACTTGGGTTATGTAGCACGACAATGATCCCAAACACAACAGCAAGTCCACCTCTGAATGGCTCAAGAAAAACAAAATTAAGGTTTTGGAGTGGCCAAATCAAAGTCCGGACTTAAATCCGATTGAGATGCTTAAACAGTCCATTCATGCTCGAAAACCCTCCAATGTGGCTGAATTAAAACAATTCTGCAAAGAAGAGCGGGCCAAAATTCCTCCACAG